GGTCCCTTCCAACCCAAGCCATTCTGTGATTATGACTCAGTAATAGATCTTTGTTTACAGGTTTTCCAGTTGCTGCTAGCAAATATGTATCATCGGTAAGGCTGACTATGGTGGTACAAAAATCAGTAATCTACGAAATGTCAGGGTGAGAAGACTTGCTTCCTCAAAAGGAGGAAGTAAAATGCTTCCTCCAAAGAGATTAAAATGGACCGCGATATCAGAATGAGACCTCTGTGAACACTGATCCTGAGTACCACTGAGACTTCCGTCTTAGTTTAAATAGTGCAAGATACTCTTTCTCTTTTGCTTATTTGTTGGACTGATAGGACAGTGCTAGGAAACAGTATTGCTATGCTCCCTTAAACTGAACTGGTTTAAACAGACTCTGTTTCTAACACTCCTGCTAATTCAGTGGTCTCCTTAGAATGGTTTGTATAACCCTGGTTTTGTTCATTGAGGACTGATATTGCTTTACTCTGGAATTTTTTTTTTTCTTTCTCTGAAAAGAGCCTCTTTTTTATTTTAGGAACTGATGAATATTCATGACCACTATCAGAAAATGAAGTGTGTCATTTCAGCTGACAAATCCCAGCCAGACAAGGCCCTGAGCTTGATAAAAGATGAATTTGTAGTTACTCTTAAAGACATAACCTTGGAGCATCAGGAATGGCAGCAGAACAGAATGGTAGGTAATATCAACCATTATGCTGTGGCAACTTAACAGATTATGTGAACATGTAAGAACTGTCTGTCTTAGTGTAATTACCTCTGAGCATACTTTGTAAATCTCAGACTTAAGTAAAAGGAACTGTAACACTGAAGACATGTAATGAGTAAAAGCTTAGGCAAAGTTATGGTACGGAGAGAAGGACATTGACTCGTATCTGGTACTGCCTCTGTGATAACATAAATGATTGCTGAGAGGTAAGCCCTGGAAGATGTGATTTATGGGCAGTATTAGAATGACCATAGCAAATACCTCTCTAACACTTATTCTTGGATCAAAGAAAGGCTGTAGTGTAAGATCGATGAAGAAAATGGGCATATGTGTAAATATTTGTTTTGTTTTTCACAATTCTTGGATTTTAGCTGCCTTGTGTATGACAGACATTGAAATTAATTTTTTTTCCCAGAAATTATTCCTAAATGCTAAAGAAACTGATGAAATATCGAACAAAAAGGAAGAAGGAACTTTGCTAGAGTTGGAGGTAAGAAAAATGAACTAGTTTGCTACATTGCGCAGGCCAAATCTGTTAGGTTTTTTTACTTTAGATCACAGGCTAAGCAGTGTATGTCAGGGCTTGATAGTGTCAAAGTAAGTTCCAGGAATAGCTAGTGGGGCTGGTTGGTTTTTGTTTGTTTGTTTTTGTTAAGCTGTGAGCATTCACTGCTGTGATATTTCTTGGATGCTCTTAATAAAAAGTCCCTTTCAAGCAAGGAGGGGAAAGAGCTGTATTTTCTTGGCCAGACTCCCTTTATGATTCCTCCTGGAATTTCAACTAAATGCAATATCCGTTTTTTATGGTACGAAATTATCTCATGTTGTACTTACCTGCTTATTTCAACTTTGAATTTGAGTAAGGTGTGAAATTTCTAATTTGATTTTTTTTCTTCCTGGGCTTTGTAACAGTGAAGGCAACCAAAATTACGGTCTGCCTTTTTAATGAAATTTGAACTTTTTTTTCTGTAAGTAACAGTTCAGCAGCATTCTAATTATGTAAAACTAATTCCAATTACAGAATTACAGCTGTAGTGAGATATCACTCAAGTGATTGTCTGATGTGATATTTCATTTCAATACTGCTGTAATAGAATATGAAAACTTTTCTGACTGATCTCTTTGTTTCTTTGCAGGGTTCTGAAAGAGCAAATGCATTGGCTCGAATCAAGTACAGGTCTTACTCTGCAGTTGTTGAAGTAGGTATAAAATTTGAGGATAGGGAGGTATTTATTCTTAAAGAACAGTTTTAAGTGCCAGTTTAATGTAAGTGCTAGGTCAGAAAGGAATGAGTTAAAATTGCACTCTGTAATTCAAACTTTGAATGTTCTAGTTTTCCTAACATGTTGGGGAAACCTGAAGCTTTTATTGTTCCTGTTAGATTTACGGAGACAGTGCAGATATGGTCTACGCTTGGGGGATTTTAATTTACAAGGTATCTTAATTTCTGAGCTTTGTTTAAGTAGATGGAATTTTAAGGAGATGGAATAAAAATACTTGCAAGTTTAATTGCTCAAATTCCTTGAAGCTTAGGTGTTGGAAACTCTGAAGATGATTGTGAAATGGAACTTGAGGGTTTAAAGTCAGTTGGAAGTTCTTGGAAACATTGTTTCAATAACTGCTACTTTAAAAATATTGTTGATTTGTCTTTTTTATAGAAGGCCTATGAGAGACATTACAACTTTCTTTGTTTATTGAAAAATGCATTATTAAATTAAACAAAGCTCTGGAATGTACAACAGTCCAGACCTGTGAATATGCATTGATACTGTTTTCTAGGCAACTAAGCAAAATATGACAGTAAGGAGGATTTATGGTGCTGTGGTTATTGAAGTGTTCCTTTTGCTTGCTCACAGCATTGTGCAGCATGATGTAGGCTGATACCAACAGAGAATGGTTTGAAAATAAATGAATGTTTCATTACCTGAATTTTAACTGATACACTCATTAAATCATAGAAGAGTGTTGGCCTGTTAAAACTGAAGATCAGTAACTAGTGGGAATCCTTACTCTCTCTCTCCCTTCCCTTCCATCCCTTTTCCACCCTGACATGAAAGTAGATGCTGACTTGTAAAGTATTGAGTGACATACAGTAATACCTCGCTGTAGAAGTTTAGCTTTTTTGTATCATTCATATGTATACTTGGGTTCTAGGCTTCCAAATCCAGAAGACATCGTCAAGTAAGATTAGAATCTTCTGAATCAGGATCAAATTATGGGAAATCTCCGAGTCGAAGTAAAAAAAACAGTAGGAGACCACAGCCAGCAAGGATAAGAGATTCTTTGGAAATCAAAGGTATGTCTCCATTGCATTTGTGATCCTGGAGAGACTGCAAAAGTTTATCCATTGCTTTGCTAGCTGAGGCAGCTGGGTTAAATTTTACTGTTGATCAATGGACATAGAGGATTAAAGAAATGTTTTGTGATACCCCCATTGTAATTGAACGTTTCTGTCTGTTTTCTGCAGTCTGGTCAGGTAGAAAGACAACTTGAGCACACGCAGTTTATAGTTAATCTGAAGGTCTCATACATAGTCCTGCTAATTTTTCTCTCGAAAGGCATGACCTTGGAAAAAAAAGCATGTCCTGTGTGGCAGTGTCTTAATTTTTCCTGTTGCTATATAACAAACATACTGGAGATTAAAATATTTGTCTAACTTTCTTTTTCTGACAGATAGCTTCTCCTTTTGAAGCTATCTTTTTTGACAAAAATCAGCCTGTCTGATAATTTTGATAGTTCATACTATCTTCATGAAATCCAAAGAAAACCTTGCCTGTTTCTAATCTGTCCCTGAGCTCTTGAAGGAATATCCTCTTAATATTTCTGAGGAGAAAATGATATTGACGTCTTAATGGCAGTGATTGCTTTGTAAGTACCTACACTATCACATCAGTCATTCTCCTTCCGTTTGATACTTGTTATTTATTTTGTTCTTTTGTTACCGAAAGTTTTAGTACTTCCATATGAATACAAATCTTCTGTCAACAACTGATGTAATTTCAAAACTCTTTTCAAATTGTTTTCTTAATCTCAGTATTGGAATTATTACATTATAACAGTTATAGATTTGTTTAGTTTATAGCTAGACTTAACTTTTTTTCTTCTTGACAGGAGGCTTTTTTTATACACCTGTGACTTTTTTGTGGTTTTGTAATTCTATTTTATTTCTCCTGAGCATTATAATTTTAGCTAGGAATCAAAACAATTTTAAGGAACAAACTTTTTTAAAACAGATACAGACTACTTATGTCCAGTCTTTGGGACCTTTTTTCGTACTTTGAAAACACCCTGGAAATAAATACTTTTGACTGCTTGTACTTGATGTAGTTCTAGTTTATCTACACTGGTATAAGAAGCATTGCCATGTCCCTGTATGTGCTCAGTGAAGGCTCTTGCTTAATGTAGTCAGAAAAAGACTTCCAAATTTTTGACGAGAAATACTATGGAATATTAAATGCAGATGCCTGTAATCTCCCCTTGAATGCTGTGGAGAGGACAGAATTTTGTGGGTGACAAGAATGGCTTCCTAGAGAGTGAAAATCTCTGTAGAGAGAATAAGTACAAACAGAATGTAACGGAGTAAGCAAGGATATAGTGAATGTTTTTAAAAATAAGAAAATTGGACTGGGAACTCCTTTCTGCCTCAGATCAGAAGTTTTTTCAAAAAAATTGACTTACATGATCCAAAGCTGCGGAGTGAATATCTTTTTAATTTCTTTTATTTGTGAAGTTTGCTGGAAGTATGATGCTGAGACCAACAACTTCAAGGATTAGCCATTTATATGGATTTTTGTTGTATGGTGTCATCATTTATGTTAATATATTCTAAAAGAGATCAAGTTTCAGAACATGAGGACTGACTCATTTCGACGTGAGATAAGTATAAGACCTGGTGTGAGGGTACTTGGCTAGATCAAAAGAGGAGGTGAGGAAGGAGAGGGAGATCAGCTGTCTATTTCAGGTCTCTGTTGGAGATCCTCTCTGGTGGTGCTGATCTTTGGTATGTCTGAACTGACCAGTGATTGATTTAGTTTGTTATTTTACTATCATAGCATTTATGTTATCTGTGTGCAGATAACATATCTCTGTAAAGTGCAGCTTTACTTTCTAGGTATTTGCACATCCCTGTTTATGCAATTTTTTCTTTTTTTTTTTTTTTTTGTCTTCCAAGACTTTCTTTAGATCTCTTTATCTTCTAGTTCTGAAAACATGGGAAATTACTTTTCTTAAGGAAATTGTCTTTCTGATATCCAACTTTTAAACTGATAAAAGTTGCTGTGTCCTTTAAGTTTTTCATTTACTTATTATTTATTAAAGATTAAATGAAAATGAACAGCAAAACCGTTTTGAATTAACTTTATTTTGAGGAAATGGCTTTCATTTCAAAGTTCCAAACTCTGTTTTCTGACTTGCTTAGCTTCTGCTAGTAAAAAAGTTACTGAGAAAATTCATCCCTCTTCAGAGGTGAGCATTAGGCAATGTTGCCTTTTCATCTACTGTTTTAAAGTGAAGCAGTGTTGAAGAGGAATAAGGGCATTTTGAATTATCTCTGGACTGACTTGGTGATTAATATGTTTTAAACTTGTAGTGGTAATTACTTGTTATTGAAGGTTTCTTTAGGGATTCATATGAAAGTAGGTACTGTGAAACGTAGGTGTTTCTCTACAGCCTTTGACTGGAAAGTCAAGAGAACAGCAAGTCAACAATCATTTAACTGCTGGACCTGAGATGTAGAAGTAAAAAAAAAAAAGCTGATGGTTTTTTCCTAAAACTTGAACTGCAGGTGAAATGCAAGTGGCAAAAGAAACTGTTACTCGGCATATTGGGATGCCTATAATCACAGAAGAAGAGAACTCGGATGAAGAAGGTACAATGATTGAAATTCTGACAAACCGGTGACTTGTTTTTTAATAGCTCTCTACTATGCTGTATTTTTCTGAAGCTGTTATTTTGGACTGTGTGTTGCTGCCTCGCAAAAGCTAGATTATTTTTTAGCCTGTAAGTTGCATGAAATTTGAAGCTTTGATTTGCGACTTTGTTATGAGCACTCACATAGTGGCAAAATCCTGAGTCATGTTTTTTCTACATAGATTTCATTATAGTGTGTTCAGAGTTAAAACTGGTCCAGTTAAAAGGAGACTTACTCTTCTATAATACAAATCTTGTAGGGAAAAGTGATTTTTCTTTCGGTCATTCTCCCACTTACAGAAGATACCTCTTCTAGTATCTCTGGGGTCTCATGTGACCTGCGCTTGAGGTCAGAATTGCCCTTGCTGACTTCACATATGTGGAAGAGAGGGACCTTAGAAATTTCCCCTTTAGCCTTTGTTTCAGCTAGGCAACAGTCAAGGATTAAGTTCCAGCATACGTGTACAGTAACAGCATCCTCTGCTATATTAGAAGTTGTCTGACATAGTTGGGGTAGATTTCTGGGAACCCCGGCAGAAGAGTGGCTGACTTTGTTATCATTCACATTACTGGAAATAATGTAATTTTTATTTGGAAGCAATGGTAAAGCAGGTTTCTCAAAGCTGATGTTGAAGTTGCTTGACAGAAGCATCAAATGCATGTAGTATGAATTGAGATGTTAGATGATCTCGACCTGCTCAGCAACTCAGAAGCTTCAGGGTCCCTCCTCGGTATTGCTCGAGGAGAATGTAAGCCGTGGAACAGACACTGTACAAAGAAAATTGCATCCTCTTTATCTTGAGGTACCTTATTTAGCTGTGCTCTGGGAAGAGCCCAGGGCTTTGGTGCCGTGTCTCAAACATGGGTGGTGTTCTTGGGAGACGAACTGGCCAGCTAAAGGCATGATTTCCACTGGCAGTTCTAGCTAGTCTAAGACTGATGGGTCTTGCTTACGTAGTGGAAGGCTGACTTGATAGACCAGAGGTACTGGTTCTTCACCTGAAAGAGCAGGATTTAATTTGATTGCTTAAAGGGGAAGCAAAGGGTTAAGTACAGCTTTTGGAAAGCTTTAATAACATAAATGAGTGTGAGGAGTATATCTTTGGAGTTAATTTACTATCCAAAATTGTATGTAATGGAAGGATATTTCATACAAGGGAGCATAATAACTACCAAAATACATTTGTAGTGAGGTAGCACATTTATATTTTCTCTTTTTATAAGCAAAGGAGCATCTTGTAGTGCTGAAATGAGATTACATTCTCTGATCACCTTAGTTGTAGACAATGTGAATTCATTCAATTTTAAATGGTCAGATTGAAGGTACAATGATGCATTTAATATTGTATTTTATTTACTTACTTTTTCCTTCAAGTTGTTGTGGACAAAAAGTTTCTTTCTAAATCAGGAACATTTCTCAGAATTTGCCAGCAAATGCTGAAGCATTAAAATGCTTATAAGCAATCTCTGCAGGTATTTTGGGCTTAATTTTGTGAGTATTCTGTTTGTCAAATTGAAGGTCAAATGAAATCTTAAAGGTTTTCATGAGGAGCCTAAAGCTCTCAAGATTGAATAAGTTTTGAAGTACAGTATTTTGTTCATCAATGGAACTTTAATTGATATTTTGAATGATAATGTGCTGTAGAATCTAGAAGGATTTTTTTCATATTTAAAACCATGGGGAGAAGGATTGGGAGGGGATCTCAAGAGCTCATCTTATTCATTTCCTTTGCTGGGCAGAATTAATTCTACTTTAATCATTCCCATGAGGGAAGATAGATTGAAAAGCTTGTCAGAAAAATCTCTTTATTTCCTTTCAGAAGTATCTCTACCCAAGAGGAAAAGAAGATAGAGGATCCAGTTGGAGAAGCGCTAATGTTAATTTTAATGACAAAATGTAAATGTCGGAGGTAACACAAAGTGCTTGTTTTGGATACCTTTGAATGTTGGAGTGTCTGGGACCAGAACTACAGGTGATGCTGGAATAGTGGTTGTGACTGGTATACCTTAGCTGTCTCAGGGTACAGCATCTGGTGCCTTTAATTCACCTGGTGAATGCTTCTTGTGGGAGACAAAGTTGTTGTGCCCTGAGATGGAAAGAGAAGGTGGTTCCTTGTTGTATTTAGCTTGTACGATGTGAGTTATCACTTGGAACTTATGTTGATCTGCAATGATGGTTTTAGCTGAGACTGTTAAAAGAACAGCTCACAAAATATTTGCCCATATGAGACATGTTTGCATTCTTTTATCTGAACAGAAAACTAAGGTTACTGACTGTTGAAAATTAGTACAATAAATTATTTTTCACAGCTTGCTTGCTCCATTTTATAGTGTGTACCTTCAGTAATGTTTATTGTGGTTTGATCCCACAGATGTGGAAGATGAACTTGGTGATAAGCCTTTTATTGTAGTTTGTCTCCAGCAGATCTGGAATCAATGTATATTCAAATAAAGAAATGTAAAGTATGTTTATTAATTCTGCAGATGACCCTAAGCTGTACAAGTGCAGGACTGGAATTCCAAGTTATCTTTATAAATTGGAGAGGAGTGGAAGAAGTGGGTATGGAAATAAGCATGAAGCTCAGGACTGAAAACAGGTACAGGATGGGGAAATGATTGCTAGGCAACAGGACTGCAGAAAAAGCAGACAGACTGAGAATCATAAGCTGGAGTATTTTCTATAAACAGTAACAAGCACTAGAATTTGTGTCATTCGGCCCTGAAAGGCTATAGCCTTACATACCCCTCTCTGACCACAGCAACTCAAGAAGAACGTGCATAGTTATTCTCCTTGGTATTTTCTCCAGTTGATCATAGCTGAACTATCAAGAAAGGCCAAAGGAGTTGAGGTGTCTTCTCCTACGAGAAGAAATATAAAATAGAAATTTGAATGGTTTTGAATATAAATGGGACCTAAACTGAGTGAATTAGTTTGGTTGTATGACTCTCAAAGGCCAAAGGAATTGAAATGCCCTTATCAAGAAGAAAAAATACTAAGTGGAAGTATATTAAATGCATTGGTTGGTAAGGAGAAGTGGACTTAAAGGACAAAGAGGTGGACACCAGAAAAACTAGTTAAGCACTTGGTTGCACTCAACCTTGTTAATGGGGAAAGAGGAAACACTTTATAATAAAGCCAAAACCCTGCTGTATAGTAAACTGAACAATCGAATATTCAGTTGAATAACCAAAATCTTTACAGTCTAATCCAAAAGTCATTATTAGTCCAGATCTAATTATTACAGAAAAAGAATACTTGCATACAGAAAAAAAAATGCAGTGGTGGTAATACAGTTAAATGTATCATACACTTAGTTTCTACTGCTTTTTCCTGGTTTAATGTTCGCTCTTCCACTGCACTTCTGGTCGTAAGGTTGTTGGGTGCTTAGTCTGTGGATAGAACGTGCCATATGGTCAATATTTTCTGCTCATCTTAATGCAGTTAGGATCCTGTTGGTAATACTGTGTTTGTCAGTTTTGTCAACTCCAGCTGCTGCTTTGGGTGTGACAGAGAAGCTTTCTGGTATCCTCACATTGCAGGGGATGGATAGTAGTATGGGTGTAACGGGAGCAATTTGGAGATAAGGTGCAGTGGAGTACTTGAATCTCTTCTTGGGACCCCCCTGGATGGCTGAGAAAGATACAGATGAAGAGGGAGAGTTCTTTCTAGCAGATATTAGGACTACAGCTTCAAATTCATCATTTCTTAGGAGTTTCTTCATTTAGGAAGTTGCTTAAGGATGAACTTTACAGCGCCAATCCTCTTCTGCTGCTTCTAGGCACCGAGGTTAAGCTAGGTCTTCCAGCTATGTGGTATTGGGTTCTTCCCTTGAAGGGAAACTTGAAAGCGACTTAACTTTTTCTGTTTCCCTCCAAGTTGCAGGTATCTTTCTCAGGGAAGCTAAAGATTAAAGACAGCTACAAAAGCTTAGTTTTCACTTTCCTGACAGGCTATTTTCAGCTAATTATTATTACTCCATATATATGGCATAAATTTATTTTAACATGTGTAAGGAATATGTTTAATGCTATTCCCTGCAGTGGCACTTTTTCATAACATGACCATGTTGTTTGCCTCTCCTTGTACCTATGAACCATCCCAAGAGCTGAGTAGGAGAATTTTTCAGAATTTTCAATATTCAGTGACCTGAGTCTTCCTGCACACACCTCTGAAAATTATTTGTAAATCAACATCAGAAGCATGCAAAACCTTGACTAGGCACAAAATGGGTGCATTCAACTAGCAGTTATTTTAATACTGTAATTATGAAAACAAGTGTTCTTTAACATGGTTGGCTGAGAGAGTTGGGATTGTTCAGCCTGGAGAAAAGAAGGCTCTAAGGAGATCTAATTGTGGCTTACCAGTATCTGTAGGGGGCCTACAGGAAAGATGGGGAGGGACTGTTTATCAGGGAACGTAGTTATAGGACAAGGGGTAATGGGTTTAAGCTGAAGGAGGGTCGATTTAGATTAGATGTTAGAAATAAATTCTTTACTGTTAGAGTGGTGAGGCACTGGAACAGGTTGCCCAGAGAGGTTGTGGATGCCCCATCCCTGGAAGTGTTCAAGGCCAGGTTGGATGAGGCTTTGGGCAACGTGGTCTAGTGGAGGGTGTCCCTGCCCACAGCAGGGTGGTTGGAACTAGGTGATCTTTGAGGTCCCTTCCAACCCAAACCATTCTATGATTCTATGTTTATAAAATTATGTAGATGTAAGATGGAAGTTATGCTTAAGGATAGACTTAGAACTGCTGACTATGTTTGCAGTGGTAATATTTCAAAACTGTAATCCTGAGAATTTAGAGACAGTTGTAAGCAAAGTTTCATAATGCTGGTGTAATCTTTATAAAAAAAAAAAAAATCCCTTGCTGCAGTCTGATGGGCAATTACAGGCTTTTAAAAACAGGAGAGGGACTTCCTAAAATGCTTCATTGAAGCAAGCAGCTGTCATTAAATAAAAACTAACCTACTCCTCCCTCTGCCCGCCAACAACAGTAAATCTAGACTTCCAAGAATATTGTTTTGTGGTACCTAACTTCTCTCCTGTTTATAGCCTCAGGTAATACAGTAGGCAAAGGCTGCAAGGAAACTTCATCTCTGTAACACCAGTCTAACTTCCAGCTGACCTGGTGGATAGGAGTGAGGCAACATGACTATGTATCTGGATGATGTTATAGTTTTCGTAAATAAATTCAAGAAATATGGTTTGGCTGAAACTTCTCTAAGATGAATATACTACTGACTGAAAAACTACATTCATACATGTCCTGGTTTTTGCTGGGATACAGGTAATTTTCTTCCTAGTAGCTGGTATAGTGGTGTGGTTTGGATTTAGTATGAAAACGTTGGTAACACACTGATGCTTAGTTGTTGCTAAGCAGTGTTTACAATTAAGTCAAGGACTTTTCAGCTTCCCAGGCCCTGCCAGCGGGGTGGCACGAGCCTTCCACAGGAGGTGCACGAGGAGCTGGGAGGGGGCACAGCCAGGACAGCTGACCCAAACTGGCCAAAGGGATATTCCATGCCGTATGACATCATGCTCCTTATGTAACTGGGGGGAGTTGGCTGGGGAGGGCTGTGGCTTGGGATCTAGCTGGGCATCAGTCAGCGCATGGTGAGCAATTGTACTGTGCATCACTTGGTTTGTATATTCTTTTATCATTATTATTACTGTTTATTCTCTTCCTTTTCTGTCCTATTAAACTGTTTTTATCTTGACCCACAAGTTTTACTTTTTGCTGATTCTCTCCCTCGTCCCACTGCAGAGGGGAGTGAGCGAGCGGCTGCCAGCCGGGTTAAACCACAGCAATACAATATTAATCACTATTTCTTTGGCAAAGCTAAAGGATCCTTTAAGTGGAGGTTTAAGCTAGTGCTATGCAAGGTTTTCAAGTATAATGTGGGTGATGGAAAGCAGAATAAACTTAAAATGCTTATAGATTACATCAGTTTACAAACTGTTGAAGTGGAAGACATTTTCCAATATAATTTTTATTCTTATAATGGGAGAGATATACAAGGTCTAATTAAGTAGAGGTACAATGGGCTGCACTTAGAAGGACAGACTAAATGCAAATACCCGCTTGCGAATGCTGGTGTAAGCAGCTGTTCTCTATCTGGAGGTTTTTGCAGCCCTCGAACCGAAGGTGGATCTGCAGTGCAGGGGTGATGTGAAAAAGTCCAAATGCCATGGGTGGCAGTGGTGATCCGTGTTGTGTATGGTTTGGGGAGGATGTAGACATCACCTCTAGAATAATTAAATGATCCTAAAAAAAGGCAAAAAACCCCCCAAAAACCAACCCCAGATTGCAAGAGAGTTTAGTCTGGAAAAGAAAGGGTTTAAGAGTGAATATAACAGTCTTCCCAGTAACAGTCTTTACAGCTCTGTATTAAGTGTTTATGCAAATGGTGATTAATTGTTCTCCATGTTCACTGAGGTAGAGCTATACAATTTGCAGTGACATGAATTTACTTAATAAGAGATTTTTGCAGTTAAGTAAACAGTTTGGCCTTATAACTAACAGCACAATCACTTTTACTGCAGGAGTTCAAAACAATGGTGGAAAAACATTAGTCACGGTTGTCTGAGGTAGACCTAATCCTGCTTTGGAGACAGGAGTGGACTAGAGGATACCTTGAGGTTTATTCTAGTGTTATGGTTACATATATACGTATACTTAACAGGACCCTATGCACATACTTTATATTCTCTCATAACACATGCATAACAAGTTCTTCAACTGACACAGATACTTTATCCCTTCTTTTCTGAAATGTTTAATTTTGAAGTTCATTCTACTTCTGGAGTTGCCCCTTCACATTTTGCAAAGCTTGCTGTGTGGACCTGACTTCC